GACTGAGCCACCCAGGAGCCCCGGAATGCTCTTTTTTTAGGACAAAATTATAAGCAGAGATTTCTAACATCAATTTTACCTTGGAGCATTTTGCTTTTGTCACTCATAGAGCACTTGGCATATGAATTCTGGGTTGTTGCAGAACGATCTGTTTTCCCTGTTAGACTACATCTTCTCAACACAAAAACGAAAACGAAACAAAACTACATCTCATTCATCTTTATGCCATGGGAACCAGCTCTCAATAGATGTGAGCAGAATTCAGTCGAACTCGAAAAGGGTTTGATGGTCCTAATGTCATTCTCTTGGTAGGCCTTGTTTTTCTATCTATGCTTGGGAAAAGCAAACAGAAGTAAAGTGTGGCAGAATATGCCAGCCCCAAATCGGCCACTTGGCCTAAGGATTGTTTTGAGCTCAAGGCACCCTTGAAAAACAGCAGATAGAAAAGGGACACTCTGACTTCCCCCCGTTTCTTTCTGAAAACAAGAGATAAAACTCCCCTGTGAAAGATGCCCTCCCTGTACCAGGACAAAAGAGACCTCTTGTCACTAGAGACAAGCTAAGCAGAGAAAAAGCTGCACAAATGGACCTTGTTAAAATAACTCTGAATTTCCTCTAGCCTCCCTGTACATTTCAGTGACTTTCCCACAATTGCCTCCTTTTATTTAACCTACCACATAAACATTTGGGTTTTGCCATTTCTTTGGGTCTTCGCTTTCTTATGGGCTCTCCTGTGTACACATAAAATCTGTGAACTTTTCTCTTGTGAATCTGTCTAATGTTCATTTAATTCTCAGGCCCAGCCGGAGACCTTAAGATGGTGAAGGCAAAGCTTTGACTCCCCTACACAAACTTAAGAGGGTGAAGTAGAGAAAGAATGAAACTTTACTGAATAGCCACTTGATTTATGTATTGTACTTGGGTTTTTAATCTCTGCTAATCCTCTTATTATTATTACTTACAGACAAAAAAATTTAGTGTAAGAAGGTTAAGCAATGCACCTAGGGTTAATGAGCAAGGATGCAAATGCAGCTCTGTCTACCCTCCCCCATACAGTGGGCTTTCTACCCTCCCCCACATAGTAGGCTAAGAGCCAATCTGACATTACCCCAGTTGGAATTAATATCTTTTAAGAAGAAAGGTAGAAAAGATGAGAAGCAACACCAGTGGGGTCACTTGGGTGATGTGTGGTTTCATGAAGCCATCACACTTACTGTGGGCTCAGAGTTAGCAGGACATTTGCTCCAATACACCAGAGAACAGCTCACACAGGTGCCCTGCAAGGAAAGACAAGGATCAGTACGGGCATCCCTGTAAGAGGGAGCAGGGGACCACCCTACCTGGCCTCATGCTTCCTTCCTCCAGGGGACCACTCCTGGCCTCCCTCTCCACTCCCTACTGGTGCCTCCCTGGAGAGAAGGAGGGAGGTCAGTGCCCATGCCAGAGGGTTTGGGGGCTGGAACTGAGCTTGCTCAGAGCAGCCGCCTCCTCTCCTTTGTTCAGGGTCAGATTGACTGTCCATCGGCCTGAGGTTTCTGATTGGCTCTCTGCCATGTAGAGGCACCTGTCCCTGAGGAAGCAGTGCAGATTTTCCACCTGTGCTGGAGACGGAGCGTTAGCACTGGGCACAGGCTTGTTCTCCAATTAGCCTAGCAGCAGCGAAGCTGAGCATGGAATCTCCGCCTTTCAGTCTCTGCCCCCCCCCCAACCCTGGGCTTCTTGTTTCATTTGAATTCAGGAGGAAGGAGAGGGGTGAGTGCTTCCAAATCTTTCCAGATCAATTTTCTGACCTCTTTTGGGCTCTGTGCTCCAGCAGGTGGACCTTGAAGAATGGTCTCTCAGCCTCCCCTGCCAGTGTCTTAATGGTCTTGGCCAATGCGAGACGCCAGCAGGATGCTGGTGGGTAGGAGGAGGGCAAGATAGAGGTATTTCTTCCCTACATCTCTGCTGGGCACCATCACTATAGCTCCTGATGGATGTCACTTCTTCCATCCTTCCAGCTCTCACTGGGTTCTGTACCTCCTAGCCCTCCCTTCCTCACCTCTTTAGTCCTGGATGGTAAAGATTTCCTGCCATTCCTTCTCCTTGGATGCCCCAGCATAACTCGGTTGTCTCCTTAGCCCTGCCCACCCCTCTGTAGTAGCTTCTTCATTAAAGACTCTTCATTTGAACCATTGGGGTAACTTCTGTTTCCTGTAGGGACCCTAACTAGTACAGAGAATTATTAATTAAACCTCTAAAATCCAAACATACAAGACAAGGCAGCTATGGGTTAAGGCTGGTGCAAATTGAGACTTCTAGACAGTCCCAGCTGCCCTCACTCTGTGCTAGCCTAAATACTTTGCAGAGAATGCATTTGTACCTTTTTAAAAAAGATTTTATTTATTTTTCTGAGACAGTGAGACAGAGCAAGAGAGAGCACAAATGGTGGGGAGGGAGAGAGGGAGAGAGAGAAACAGACTCCCCACTGAGTGGGGAGCCCAACGCAGAGCTCGATCCCAGGACCCTAAGATCATGACCTGAGCTGAAGGCAGATGCTTAACTGACTGAGCCACCCAGGTGTCCCAGCATTTGTACTTTTAACAGACCTAACAAAAACTATCCTGAATCATGTAGAGCAGATAGATTTGACTTTAAACCCAGAGAAAATAATAAAAGAAGACTCTATCTTAAGGCAGGTGTTGGGAAGCTCTTTTCTCTATTAAACCAAAATCCTTTGGGCTGTGGCCCAAACCCACATCTAGATTCTTTCCTTTGAGAATTTGGAGAACAAGCTTTTGAGCAACCTGGAACAGAGCAACCCTGCAACAGGCAGGCAGTTAGGGCTGCCCTTGTCCCTCCATAGACTTCTTTTCTTGACCTTGAATGGCAGCTGCTTGGGATGGGGAAGCTCTAAAGTCAATAATTAGACTCCTATTGAGTCTTTTTGGCAGAGGCCCTATTTTCCAAAAATCTTTCACCTTTGGGATAGGAGATGAGACTATTCTCGTCTGGCCTGTTCTGATCTTCACCCCAGCCCAAACCAGGTGATGTACCTGCCCAAACTTTTTTTTTTCAAAGAATGAACCAAACAAAAATCACTGGTAGGGACTGGCTGGGAAAGTGACTAGGTTTCAGCCTCTCTTAAAAAGGGGTGCTCAGAATGGAATCAAATCCCCCAGATGGTATATGACTGGCATGGAGAACAGGCACCTGCACAATATCCTAAAACATATCAGAAGAACCAGCCACAGTCCTGTACCAGGTGACCAACCAGCTATTTCCAGCCTTCATGATAAGAAGAGGGATCAATAAATAAAACCTATAAAATGAAACCATTATTCCTTGCTCAATGCCCATATTCCAAGGATATTCCAGTCATTGAAGTATTATTGCAGTGTCCTGAAAAGAAAGACCCAGACTGATTACTGCGCTAACTTCGGGGGTATGGTTTCCATGGGAACTGAAAGATCACATGTACAGTAGTGTTGAAATTTGGGGTGCTTTGAATAAAATCAGCTCAGCCAAGTAGGTTGCTATGGAAACAGGAAAGGCCATTAGAAGGTACACAAGCTCATAGGCAAACAGAAAGTTTGGTATTTGAAAAGAAATACAGAAAGAGGGTTGACTGGCGAGGCCAGAGCACCCACCTGAGAAGAAATTCTTTTTTAAGTTTCTTAGAGTAAAGCTATGGGCTTGGAGCAAGGTGCTCCCAGGGGACACAGGCAGGGACTGATCCCACTTCTTCTGGTGTAGTGGGCTGAATAGTGTTCCCCACCAAATTCGTGCTCCCTTGAGTAAGCCTTTGCAAATGTAATTAGTTAAGATGAGGTCATACTAGATTGGGGGGGGTTCTGAATCTAATGGCTGGTATCCTTAACAGAAGTGAGGGGACCCACACAGTGACTAGAGTGGGAAGAAAGCCACGTAAAGGCAGAGGCAGAAATTGGAATAATGCAGCTGAGGAATGCCAAGGATTGCCGGGAGGCATCAGAAGCTGGAAGAGGCGAGGAAGGATGCCCCCTCCCAGAGCCTTCAGAGGGAGCACAGCCCTGCTAATACCTTGATTTCAGACCCCTGGCCTCCAGAACTGTGAGAGAATACATTTCTGTTGCTTTAAGCCTCTTCCTTTGTGGTAATTTGTTACAGCTGCTCTGAAAAGCCAATAGATCTGGGAGGCGTCGATCATGGTTATGAGCTAGGACCTCAGGCCTGTCTGCCTCTTCGTGGAGACAGAAACCTGTCTGGAATGAGGCTCCTGGGGTGAGACTCTCCTTGCCAGCTTCCTCAGGAGCGTGAGAGGGAAGGCTGTTGTCTGCCCTGTGGGGCTGTTTGGGGCCCCTCTTTATCTTCCTAGCTTCCTTACCAGTCTCATCTCTCTCTTGCTTTCATCACATCGATGGGGCAGAATCGGCACGATGGAGGGAGGAATGAGGACGCCAGTCAGGGTGTAGATACGGCCGTTTTTGGCAATGACCTCTGTCTCTTCCATGGCCACATCATTTGCCAGAATCTGTCCCTGGAAGGAAGCAGGGACATCTTTCATTCTGTCCTGCAGGACACCAGCCGTCCCCAGGCAGACCTGGGTGTGTGGCCTCCTGTCAGATGGTTGTTACGAGAAGGGCCTAGCTGACAGGAAAAGATGGATTTTTTTTTTTTTTAAAGGCTGATTTATTTATTTTAGAGAGAGAGAGAGCACAAGGTGAGGGGACAGAAGGAGAGAAAATGGCAAGCAGGCTCCATGCGCAGCGGGGAATACGACGTGGGGCTTGGTCTCCAGACCCTGAGATCATGGCCTGAGCTGAAACCAAGAGTCAATCGTTTAACTGACTGAGCCCCCGGGGCACCCCAGGGAAAGATGGATGTTAAATGAATTCTTGACAGACACCGGGCAAGGATGTCTCTGCAGAGATGGTCCTTGCAGGTGTGGGGCTGGGAAGGGGGATAACTATTCCAGCTCTATGATATATTTGCTAAGAGACTGCGGGTTAACCATTTTACCTCTCTGTTGGCGAAGCGAAGGTCCATTCATTCAGATACATTTATTGACCCTGTATTATGCTCTGCTTTAGGCGCTGGGGATACATCAGTAAAAAACCCAGACAAGTCCCTGCTTATGTTGTAGGGGAGGGAGTGGAATTGAATAGATTGGCAAAGAATTCTGACCTCCTTTCCCCCAAAATCTGCTCCACTTGTGGTATTAAAGGCAACTCCATCCTTCTGGTGGCCCGAGTCGGAAGCTCAGGAGACTTCTTCCTCTAATCCATCAGCAGATTCTCCTGGGGCTTCCTTCAAAATGCTATCAGAATGCAACCACTTCTTCCCATAGCCTTGCTACCACCCTGGTCTGAGTCACCATCATTCTTCTCTGGGTTATTACAGTCAGCTTCTAACTAGCCTCCCGGAATGGATGTCTGATCATGTCACTCCACGGCTCGAAATCCCCCATGGCTCTTCATCTCATTTAAAGTAAGAGTTCTTAGGCCATGCGTGACCTGACCCCACTTCTCCTTCTCCCTCCCACTGCCTTCACTTCTCCTACCTCTCTTCCTCCATTCCCTCTGTTCCAGCCACGATGACCTTGCTGTTCCTCAACCAGGTCAGGCATATGCTCCCTTCTTTGTGCCTTTCTTTGCTCCCTCTCTCTGGAATGCTCTTTCCCCCAGATATTCATGTTGCTTGCTTGTTTCTTCATTTCCTTCAGGCCTTTGCTCAGATGTTTTCTTCTTCATGAGGATTTCTTGGGCATTTTATTTAAAATGTCAGCTTTATTCTTGCTTTATATCCCCCTTCTTTGTTTGTTTGCCTTAGCAGGTACTACTTTCTAATATTTGCTGTGTTTTACTTATTTAATTTGTTTACTATCTTCCTATTTATTAGAATGAAAGTTGCATGCAACCAGGGACTTTTCTCTATTTGCTCATTGGTCTACATTTAAGACCCAGAATGGTGTCTGGCCCATAGTGGGCACTCAATAGATAAAGAAAAGATGCATCATCATTATCATCACCATCAAGAGTGAATCAACGGGAGATATAATCTGCATGCTGTCAGACTTTTGCTGATATTAGCCCAGGGAGTTAGCTGAATAACACTGCCTTCACTGAGTTTCTTAAATAAGTCATGTTCCCTCCCACCACAGGGCCTTTGCACATGTTCTCCCTTCTGTCTGGAACTCTCCTCTACTCATCTCTGCTGCAATTCCCTGTACTCATCCTTTGAAACTTGTCTAAAGCATCGCTTCCTCACTGAGGACCTCTAGAATGCCCAGCCTCCTCTTATTGTAAACTCTCGTTATAATTATAATTGCACTTATTATAATTGTAATGAAATAATTAGCTGGTCATTAATTAGCTGATAGAAGTCTGTTTTCTTTGCTAGAATGTAAGCCGGTCTTCTTCATTGCTTTATCCTGAGCATCTAGTTCAGAGTCTCACACCTGCAGCTGCTCAGCAAATAAATGAAATCATGAAATGCAAGAAATAACACATGAAGGAAGTAATCATCAAGATCGTAAGCCTGGGAGTTAGGGTATAGGTAGGATAACCTGGTGAACAATCATAAGCAGAGCAAAAATGCATGTGAGTCACAACAACAGCAGTAGAGTTTTTTCACCTACGTTGTTGGTTGTGTTGAACTGTATGATCTGGTTGGCCAGGCTCCTAATGTGTGGGATCACAATGAGAGAAGCCACTTCCAGCTGCAAAGAGAAGAGAACAGCACAGACATTTTTGAGCAATGCCTAGAGCCCTGCTTTTGTAAAGTTCTCACTGGAAAAAATAGCCTGGAAGTCTAGGAAATAAATAATGGGAGGTCTGATGTCATCAGTTTTGTGGCTTTGAGGGTTTCTTTGATAACAGGCTCATTATTCATTGCTTAGGGTATGCCCAGAGCTACAGATAAAGAACAATTGTCATGGATTTTCTAGCACTGTAATAATGGAATTTAAGATGAAGTCAGATATGTGGAAAGCAGGAAAAAATAGGGCAGGAAAGTGGGGCCAACCTGAGTCAATGGGACAATGTGGTATCTGACGAGTTCCAGAAGCTTCCGAGATCCCTGCAATGGAATAAAAATACTTCTTTAGTCATTGCAGAAAATACAACTTTCCCCCCTTTTGTGGGAACTTCCTCCAATGACTTTGGATGCATAATCAAGAAAAGTCAATGCCCATAATCTCTTCATTGGGAAGTGCAGGATGAGAAAAACCCCATCCTCAAGGAGCTGACATTCACCAAATTTCTCTTTTGTGGCAGGAACTGTTCTGAAAGCATTATATGCACATTTAATCTAATTTTCTTAAAAGCCTTGTGAGGGAGGGACCGCTATTGGCTCATTTTATGTGTGATAACACCAAGTTTTAAAGACACCACCGAGGTCACAAAGCTAAGTTAGGATAATAAGCCTAAGAAGTTCTCAGTCACTCTGTTCCATTACTTCTCTGAATGTCTAAAGCTACATTCTGGAATTTCTAAGACAGCCTCAGTTGAGGATTCTGTTTCACTTTCCCCATAAATAAATGTCTGCTTGTCAGACCATGTGCTGGTTATTTAGGAATTTACACAATCCTTCTTAGGAATATCTGGGCAGGACACTCTCCCCTTCTGAGCCGCCATGGTCCATGGTTATCTCTCCTTCAAAGCCCTTTCCACGATTTCTCATGCTTCAGAAGCATAGTAGCGGTGGAGGAAAAAGAGAGTCTTGGGACTTCCAGTGGGATGAGCAGTCCCCGTAGGGGTGCCCTGGGGAGAGCGTACAGAGGTGAGGACCGCAGGGAACTACTCTCTGGGGACCAGCGGCCGTGGGGGTCTGCGATCTCCCAGCAGAATCAGAGCCAGGGGTTACAAGCTCAGAGCCCTTGAGTTCAGCTTCGTAAGTTGCACAGCCGTGGTTCCTCTGGCTTGGACGGGAGGAGGATCACAGATCAAGATCATAGTCACCTCCCAGAGGTTGACATTTTAGGGACATGTCCCAACAGCGAGAAGTCCCAGGTTGAAAGAGAGCCCAGATGAATCTGAGGCCCATGCGCCCAGGTTCCCCTCTGCACTCGTTCTGGGTCCCTAGGCCGAGGGAGTTTCCCCGAAGTAGAGTGACCCCTTATCCTGGCTTGTCTGGTACAACCCTGCTTTACGCCTTGCATGTTGGCAGCCCCATTCGCTCTCACGTATGCTGGTGTGGATGATACATCGTATGGCCACCATATCGAGAAACCCAAAGCAGTATGTGCAGGGCAGGGTTACCCGTAAGAATGTTGGGGTTGAAACCCAAGTAGCCAGTCCCGGCAGCGATGCTTTGTGTAGCCGTGGCTTTGTTACCGCGTGAGTTCAGACTCTTAGATTCTGGCTCTAATCTTCCCCTTGCAGCGGCTTTCTGGTACCCGCGAGTGAGGACTTGCAGGCAGAAGCAATGAGATTACAGTTTGGATGTTCAGTGGTGGAAGGGGTGAGCAAAAGTGGGAACCGCTGGGAAATGTCAGCCCAAACTGGATTGCAAGGCAGGGGCGGGGTCCATCTGGCTTATTAATCAGAGTCGCCAGGCCACACAGCGTACGGTACACGGGGCCCCGCATCAACGTTTGTGCTGATAAGTTAAAAGCAGGGGGAAGGGGTCCTGGGAAGAGCGCTGAGCTGGACCTTGGAGTCCTGAGTTCTAATCCTGATTGTGCTGCTGTGACTTGAGCCAGCCACGTAGCTCCTCTAGGCTCGGTCTGGCCTGCAAAATAAAGAGGGTGGTGTGGACCCCTTCCGACCCTCTGATTCTGTAGAGAAGACTTTATTAACTGGATCATTTGCTTCTAAAGCCCTAAGAATTAATTGGTGTTGGATTGTTTTTTACAAGAAGCAGGAGAATGAAAGGGACAAAGGAATTGATTGGTGTCATTCCCGCCATTGTGTGTGCCTGTCCCCTTGTCTGGCTGGGAGCCACGAGGGCCATCGTTCAGTTAGAATGGAGTCCAGTGTGGCTCAAATCGACAGGGTGTGCGTCCAGGTGCTGCTCTTTCCATGTAGTTAGTGCATCCTTTCCCTTATGAAGACATTTGCTTCCTCCTTGCTGTTTTAGGTAAAAATGACAAAAACCCAGCCCTTTGATGCCAGGGCAGAAAGAGAGTTTTTCTACCAAATTGTTAACATGACCCCGAACTCTGCAATTTTACCTCCCTTTGTCCCATGTTACTTGCAAGGTATTTGTGAGCTGGCAAGGGCCAGTCTCTGGTTCCCTGTGCTTTCATTTCCCCTAGTTCAGTGATGAAGTCATCAGCTGGAGCTGGTCATCAGCAGCTGTGGTCTCTGTGTGGATAGGATGGTTCCTGGACTGAAATTTTGCTTCAGGGAGAAGCAGAAAGATACACTGGAAAGGAAACATGGCATTCTAAAATCAGAATTAGAAGCCATTCCTCTAATGAAATCAGTTTATTTTCTATCTCATGGGCATAGTTGATGGGGCTTTTCTGTCTCCAGCTGAGGTTCTTCCCTGGAATACGGCTGAAGGATGCTATTAAAATGCATGGAGAGAGAAGGAACTTCCTATAGGTTGAGAAGTTTTAACCAAACAGGCTCTGGGCCTGAGAAAAAAGTGGAAATGATCATTCTATTCCTCGCTTAGAAATTAAAGTGGGAGAACAGTTTTGACTCAGAACGAAGAGACTTGGAGTGTTTATATTCTCTGCGGGCTGAAAGATACTGCCTTTGAGAGCAAGGTGATTGAGAGCCAGGAGCAGTGAGTGGTGTGCTGGTAAATCAGTTCTGTGGGGAAACAGAGGAGCCAGATTTACAGAGCTGGCCAATTTCTGCCGTGTAAATGTTGCCACTATAAGTTAATTTCGAACTGCAAGGCAATCTCAGTGAGTGAAGCTGGGAACAGGTACACAATCTACTTGAGAGCCCAAGCCAGCCAGCCAGCTCCAGCCACAACTGGAAGGAGTCATGAAGGAAGAGAAAGACAAGAGATTTCTGAGCAAAGGTGCTTGACAGAAAAGCAGGGAGGTTGATATTTCTCTATTCTAATTAAAAGGTTTTGTCTTAATTTTAAGTGTAGCAGGTTAGGTGTCTGAGAACTCCTTTAATATTATTTTAAAAAAAACTGGTATCAAATTAGAAGCTATGTACTCAACGAAGCCATATAATCTCAGGATTTTAATAATTTCCCAGGGGAGCAACATTACTTTTTAGCTTTAAAGTTAAGTATGAGAGCTATAACCACCTTTCTGCAATAGCTAGGTTTCAGAAAACTTATGTGTGAATTGTATTTTTAAAATAGCATCCTATCTTGAAGACACTGGGAAATCTAGCATTTTAAGTGGAAACCTGTAGCAAATCCTTTAATATGGTGAATGTTCATTTGCAGTGTAAGAGATTACCTTCTGATTTATCTCTTCAATCCGTATATTTTTAATTCAAAGTTTTCTGAAGGCGAGATAACCTTGTAGATACCTGAAAGTGTTCTAGAAAGGTATGTATCCATGTGCATCTCTAAACCATACATGCAACAAGATTCAGGGTTCCAAAAACAGCGTGGCCTGGGTTAGAAAGTTGGTGTTTCCCCAAATGTCTATTTCTAGATCTCATGGAGGTGTTACTAAATCAAAATGCTTGGGGTATGGTTTGTGAAGCCGCCTACTTAACAAACTCCAAGGGTGATTCCTAAGTATACTGAAGTTTAGGAATCACTACCCTAAAAGATCGGGACCCTCCATTTTGTATAATGAACCGATCTACCTTCGGTCATGGATAGTCTTGCCCCATTGGCAAGATGGCAGCATGATTTCAGGGCACTGGAGGAAAGCTCGTGGCCCTTCCTATAATTCCATCATTTGACATTCTAATGAACAAAATTCCATAATTAATTACCCTTTCCTTTGGTTTAAGGCTGTTATTTCTGGGAGAGGAAACACATTAAATGGTTTCAATCACTTATACTCTTATGTGAAGGAGTAAAAAAAATCTCCTTTCTAGAAGAGAATGTGAAAGAATTGAAGGCCTTTATGGTATATAAGGAGAGATTATTATGAAGAAAGATGAAAGCAATAGAAAGGAATGCCTGGGGCATCTAAAAATAACATTTATTCCTTTTTCTTTTTTTTAAAGAAGGCTTCATGTCTAGCATGGAGCCCAACATGGGGCTTGAACTCACGACCCTGAGAGCAAGACCTGAACTGAGATCAAGATTGAGACACTTAACTGACTGAGCCACCCAGGTGCCCCCCCAACATTTATTCCTTTTAAATTTAGCCTAGACCTGGCCCAGAATGGCCTAGTTTAGAGTTCATTTACAAGATAGTTTTAGAAGTTGTAGGGAACTTAAAATACTGATTTCACTACTGAGAAATATTAGAAGAGCCAGGAAAAATCAAACCAATCATTTAGACCTGGGGTTGCAAATAGATTTTATTTCCTGTGCTCAGTCTGACTGGCTATTTGGAACTCTGTCTAGGAGATTGGAGACACATCCATAGTTCCAGAGGACTGTGATTGATTAATGATGTCTGTATTGGTTGCGGGAGGGTAGGTGGTGATACATGTGTCACTTGTTGAACATCCCTAGTTTGGAAAAAGTCTGTATGGGCTCACATCATGTCAATGATGTCATCAGAGTAAGTAGGATACCATACCTCTGGAGAAAGGAGGTAATCAAGAGTGCCGTCCTTCATATTGTTTAATGCTTCATTACTTGGAACGAAAATGGTGTATGGTCCACCAGCCCCATCTTCATCTAAGGCATGTCCCACATTGGTTTCCTGCATTTGAGCAATGAAATTTTATATCTGCAACCTATCTCTGACAAATCCTAGAAGTAATTCCTTAGCAAATATTTATAATTGATACCTCTGCTCATTATACAAAAGATTAGACATAAAATCATTTTCCAGAAATTCATGAAAAGTACATACCTCTAACAAAGATCTGAACTTGCTGTATCTTGGTTGTAGCATTGTCATTATGGTTTGCTAAAAATCATGAAAAGAAATAGGTGGTTTAAGATATAGACACCCCAACATTAAAAGGTCTGTGACAGAGTTTATGTGTAAATGTGGATAGAAAAGAACCTGGTCAACTGCAACACATTATAGAGATGTTTCCTGTTGTTAATTGAATTGGTGGTTCAGATCTGCATGTTCTAAAGTAGCCTTGGCCATCATCAAATGAGTCAAAAGAAATAAATTTTTATCACAGTGAGGACTGCCCTGCTCCATAAAGCATGAGGGATAACTTTTCATGACAACTGGTTACTGGACTGAATCATATGTGGCTGTAAAAGAGATCATAAAATTGAGATCTTTCCAACACCTAATGCATGTTTCTCTTTCTGTTGGCAGAGATACCCAGAATTCTATTGAAAACAGAAATTATCCCATTTTCCCCATGGTTGAGGTCCTAGTAGACATGAAAGACAAGCCCATAGTGCTGGCATGCATTTTCTTCTTTGATATGACTCTCCAGGGAACAGAGAAAGAGGGATTTGGGTTGACCTAACTTTTACCTGAAATGTCTCACCTTAGTGTTGCTCTCAAATGTGGGTGCCATCTTGTCCATGGCTCTGTCAAGGATGTGCAGGAGTCCGTTGGAAGCAACTATGTCTCCCTGTATAATTTTTACCTTCTTTTTGCCTCCATAGAGTTTAAGTTTTATTTGATTGTCCTAAAACACCAAGAAAAAATAAAATTAATGTGGTATCCTTGAAGGACTATTAGAAGTCCTGAGTCCCTGGGATCTATCATTTATTGGCTATAGGATCTTGGATAAGTCACTTAACCCAAAATGGGAAAGATGTCATTTGCTTGCTTCACTTCACAGGTCTTTCATTAAGATCAAATGAGATAATGTGTGAAATCACTGATGACTGCCAGGGATTGCTAAATGTGACTAGGAATCATAAGTCTCCCTGAATAGACTGCAAGGTCAGAAAAGGTAAAAAAAAGTCTATGTACTATAAACTTATCACCTACTTTAGTGTGTTGTATGGACAAGGCACACAATAAAAAATTTTGTTGCATAAATGACTGAAGCTAATTCCTTCTTCCTTTCATGTGGCTCTTATAAGCTATAGATAATAACTATATGTTGAATGAGTGAATGAATGAGTGAATGAGTGAATGAATGAATGAGTGAAAGAATGTCCTTGTGAGAAAAGGAGCTACATTTTCATCCATCTATCTAGATATCTACCCATCATCCATCCATCCATCATCCATCCATCCATCCATCCATCTATCCATCATCCATCCATCCATCCATCCATCCATCCTCTCACACACAGTATAACACATTGGTTAATGATTCGGGTCTTGGAGTCAAGGAGTCCTACATTTGAATCCTGGATCTGACCCTTATTTGTGACCTCTCAGTTTTCCCACTTGAAAAATCACCTTTATGGCATTGTTGCAAGTCTTATATGACATAAATAAAGGTTCATCTCAGTACAAGAGTAAGTGCTCAGTAATCTAACAACTATTGATAGTTGGTGAAATACAAGAATATAGGCCATAACCCACACATGCACCTTCTGTCTATTAATCACATCCCCTCTGGCTCAGTAAAGTCACAGAAAGAGTTATTTGTGAGAGGGGAGGAGGGTAGTTTTACTTAAGCAACAGAGCAGAACCAGTGGCATTAGGAGAGATGGGATGCTAGGTTTGCAGAGGATGGATAAACTCCAGTAACCTAAACCCAACATAATCCATTTCCTTTTGCAAGAGGGATGATGATCTGGCTTTGTGCTGGCACTTCCAGGAAAGAGGTTTACTACAAAGCTTCTCTTTCCTGCTGGCACCCAAATGACGTTCCCTTGAAGACAAATTCAAACCAGAGCAAAATCCAACACTTTATAACCCTCTTTCCACAATAGATCCCTCCGGCCCGATCCTTCCTGGTGTTGCTCTCCACCTCTTCCCTCATAGGGAAGTGCTTTGGCAAACGAGGAATAAGGAAAGACGTTCTTCATAACCTTCAAGAGCCCAAACACAGATGGAGTCAACTGTGGGCACTGGCTCAGCAGACACTTTTGTTCTGGAAGTGAAAATCAGAGAGGCCCTTACCTTATCGCTGTTGAAGATTTCTCCTGACTTTCCAGTCAAGGTGTAGAAAGTGTCTGTGTTATTCATACGCTCGGTGTTCATCTGCCCAGCAATTATGTGGAGTTTCACGAAGTACTGAGCAGCCTCCTTATCCATCAAGAGCTCTTTGACCTGAGGAAAGAGAGCCAGTCCCTTCAGTTTCCACTGGTATTTGAAGGACAAACTGAGGTTGTGAGGCACGCATTGGCCAATCAAAGATGTCAATGCCAAGGCCCCCTAACTGAGGCTTGGGCTCTTTCAGACACAGGTGGCTTTGGGGACGGGGAGCGCAATCTAGAGAGCAGGAGGCGGTGCTCAGTGTCCTCTCAAACCACCAGGAGTGAGGAAGGTGCAAGCACCCAGGAATCAGCTTGAGCCCAGGGAGCAGATGGAAATGAAACAAAAAGTTATGTGAAAAGAAAGTGCAAACTAGATCCATGGAGCTTTTGAATAGGAAAATTAGGATTTTTGAAATCCACTGGATCAAATCTACATTTTGTCAGTATTATATATCATCAGCAATCAATCAACAGATACTTTTTATTAACTCTGTGTAAATAATCTATATAGTAAACAAGAGACCACATGCAAAGTGCCTCATGCAGAGACATTCAATATTTGTGAGCTCTCCTCCCTATAGGAGAGACGTGAGGCATTTCTGAAGTTTAATGGTTGATTCATCTCAGATTGTCCAAAGGTGGTGACATATTAGGATGAGGGGGTCTGGAACTTCCTGGGTTTTTATTCAATGCAGCAAAAATTATTATCATAAAATATCTTGGATGAAGAGAAACCAATTTTATACAGATCAATATGTCCATTATCTCCATTAAACCAAATGTAACAATTTTATTGACACCATCACGATAGGATGCTTGCGCTGGGCACCGTGAGTTTCATTCCCACTGTGTGACATCACTTCAGACAACAGCTGCTCACAGGGAAGACTACCGTGTTCTTCTACTTTCCTCTACCACTGTTATTTACGATTTTTTAAAAAAGATTTTATTTATTGGGCACCTGGGTGGCTCAGTTGGTTAAGCGACTGCCTTCGGCTCAGGTCGTGATCCTGGAGTCCCGGGATTGAGTCCCACATCGGGCTCCCTGCTCGGCAGGGAG